AACAAGGCGAAAGTTAAATGTTGTCCGTGTTTCCAGAAATGACCTGCATCTACACATCTAGACGATTGGTCCTCTGAGATGGGTTCAGCGCCGTTTTGAAGTTTATTTCAGTTATGTCTACTAGTGTCTGTTAATTACGGTACGAACAAGGTAAAATGTTGTTCCTTGAGACTTCATTTGGGTGTTTCAGTATGTATTTAGAACTATTGAACTATACATGTGTCGTTTCATTGGTACAAAGTGGCTGATTCTAATTATATAGAGTGGATAAATTAAATTTCCAGAAATGCATGCTTACAAAAAACGTTAATCTAAGGCATGCTACATGCGAACCAAGCGAAAGTTAAATGTTGTCCGTGTTTCCAGAAATGACCTGCATCTACACATCTAGACGATTGGTCCTCTGAGATGGGTTCAGCGCCGTTTTGAAGTTTATTTCAGTTATGTCTGTGTGGGAGGAAAGAGTGACTCTGAAATTCGTACTCACGATTGCGAAATTGAACACATTCAATACTGTTACACTATTAAGCCATAGTTTCCTTTAAGGTTCAATTTGATATCATTTAGAAGACGAGTATATTTGTATGTTTGACTCAATGTTCAGAAATGATATAGTGTTGGGATTTTAAATAAATAATTCAGTAAACTAATGAGTAAATAATCAGATCTACATGAATAACATTCATCTTGTTGAAAACCAGTTGACATGTTGGGCGCAAATAAACATTTCATATGGCACAAGACGCCGTATAAATCTAACACCAACCAACTATCACTTTCAACTCCGTCATGGGAATGTATTCCTAAACTGTAGCATTACGTCAGCTGTGTTCAAAATCGATACGATAGATTCAGCGATGATAAAGTCCAGGAAGCTTTTAAATAGTTCACAACTTAAGTACAGAAAAGGATTTCAAATGAGCTAACTTTCAAGAAGGTCATGATGTGAGTAACGTATTTTCTCTTTGCAAGGTTCTGAATTCGTTTTGAATAGGTTTTTCTTTCCTGATAATCGATAATTCTATACTGAATTAGACATGTGCTTTGCCCACATAAACGCAAACGCGGATCTGTACATGGAAACGAAGAAAACTAACAAAGGTAAAGATAGTTAAATAGATTCTAATTATAGGAAGTCTACGTGCGTCATCATAACAATTCGTTTTATGTATAGGACAATAATGGTTTGAATAATGGAGAAGGAAAATCAACTGAATATATTTATTCACGTATCCTAAAGCAAGGTCTTACATGAATCATGCATATGCATTGGCAATATTGTACAGTTTACACCCGGTCGTATTATTTATGTATATATGTATACAGTGAGACCTGGTCAAAAGGTGTCGTTCTCAAAACTACCATCCATGTTAATATATATAAAGCTACAAAACCCTTTCCATATCCAATAGGTTTGTCAGCACCATACCCGTGCTCGTGGGTTTCACCGAAGTGGTAAACGTCTGAGACCTGCATCACTTCGGGCTTTCCTCCCACATTAGGCTGACACGCTGTGATGTAACTGGAATACTGTTAAAAGCGGCGTTAAAACCAAAAATCTCTGCAGAAAGCAGTGTCGATTGTACAATTCCGACTACATCATGAGCACGTGTTTATGAATCAATATCAAATAGTAATGATACCAGGTGTTCACGAAAAGGTGAGAGTATTCTGCTCCACCTGTAGCACAGGTCACACACACATGCAAAGGCAAGTCAATTGTTCACCTGAAAAACATGAGAACGGCAGAAGACAAAATAGGGAATTGCATCGGACATCATTATTGTCACTAGTGCGTCAAATTTGGAAATGTCCTCCACATAAAACTACCATAAAACTTTTTGAAAGTTTTACTGAGGCCTTGAATGTTTTAACCTTGCTCACACGAATTCTGAGCTGGAGTCAATTTCAAGAATCATGTCCACCGTGTGTTATCACTTTGTGCATATGTGGATGTAACATACTCTTTATATGGTCCACGTCGCCCAAAAGCCTAACACCAACTAACCGGTGGCGTGGCACCCGTCACAAACACATGCAAAGGCAAATGTGGAAATGTCCTCCACGACTACCATAAAACTTTTTGAAAGCTTTACTGAGGCCTTGAATGTTGTAACCTTGATCAAACGACTTTACTGAGGCCTTGAATGTTGTAACCTTGATCAAACGACTTTACTGAGGCCTTGAATGTTGTTACCTTGATCTAACGACTTTACTGAGGCCTCGAATGTTGTTACCTTGATCAAACAACTTTACTGAGGCCTTGAATGTTGTTACCTTGATCAAACGACTTTACTGAGGCCTTGAATGTTGTTACCTTGATCAAACGACTTTACTGAGGCCTTGAATGTTGTTACCTTGATCAAACGACTTTACTGAGGCCTTGAATGTTGTTACCTTGATCAAACAGCTTTACTGAGGCCTTGAATGTTGTTACCTTGATCAAACGACTTTACTGAGGCCTTGAATGTTGTCACCTTGATCAAACGACTTTACTGAGGCCTTGAATGTTGTTACCTTGATCAAACGACTTTACTGAGGCCTTGAATGTTGTTACCTTGATCAAACGACTTTACTGAGGCCTTGAATGTTGTAACCTTGATCAAACGACTTCTGAGCAAGAGTCGATTTAACGAATCATGTCCATCGTGTAATATCACTTTGTGCAAATGTGGGATTACATAGTCTTTATATGATCCACGTCGCCCAAAAGCCTAACACCAACTAACCAACCAACCATTCAAAGCAAAGTGTGGCGCAATCTGCGACTACAAAATGCCATGAGTGTTGCCTCGTATATGAACTCATGTGATTTCATTTTAGGAAATGCATCATTTACAGAACCAGAGTGCGATTCCATATTTCCATTCTTCAAAATAACACGTTCATTCCGAGTAGCTCCTAAGCACGTTTAGCATCTCCAGGAGTGTGTATATATGTTCTCACGAACACCTGGTGTCCCCACTGACTTTCAGTGATCCATTCTTATTATTTTCATCGCTAATTTGGCCTTTCGCCCAAAGGAATCTGTTTAGACGCATAAGGAGACTGGGTACTCCCTTGTGTAAAAGCATAAAAAAAACAGTTTCAATTTCACATTGTTCGGTTTCGATCATTTGAACAACATCAGATGGTGAGGAAATGTGTCACAAGCCGTTTCGCGAATCATGACATACGGTGTCAGCTGAGCGGACGTTTACCTTATAAATTGTGTCAGCGACAAAAATGGATGCGCGAGTCTGTGGTATAAGTAACACATCAATCTATATAGACATAAAACTAATGACATTCTACAGTCAGTTTAGCTTGTTTTCACTGAAAAGCAATATATCATTTTTTAACATGTTTATAATTGGAGTAACAGCAAAGGTCACACATACATTTCGTTTCATAGATAAAGCATGTGCTGTTTCAGCATCTGTCACAACTCAAATATGACAGATGAGAATCTGCTGAAGTTCAACATGTAAATAACATTTGATAGCGATCGCAGTATCGTTAATGTAACTGAAATTGATTTTGGCACTTGAAATCGTTTCAACGAATAGCTAATTATATTATATCGGCTCATATTTCTGAAATTAGTTTAACTTTAAAATGATTGAATATTCCACACGCACATGTTCTCCTATAAAAACTTTCATATTTAGAAAATGAATTTGCATGAACGTAACGCGTATTTGTACGTGGAAACGATACAACAAATCCCACGAAAAAGATTACAGTGTCCACGTGCGTCATCTTGCAATTATTGTTAGCGCATAATAGTTTTATGTGTAGGACAATAATAATGGAAAATGAAATATGAACTGAATATATTTTATGCACGAATCAAAAATAAAGTCTGACATGAAACGCGCATTAGCATTAGCAGTAGTTTACATCCGGTCGTAATCAGGTTTTTGTGTGTCGCGTTACGCGAATCATGACAACGGTGTAGGATGACTTTGTGTATATTTGGACGTTACAAGCAGCAATAGTCTGGATTGCAGATAAAAGTTTCCGGAATTTAAGGATCAAAGTGTTCAGGAGTGTGAGTTTGGTTTGAAGCTGCTTTGAACAGTATCTCAGCCTGTCAGCTTGTTGGTGAAGGAAAGTCCGAAGTGGTGCAGGTCTTGGACGTTTGTTACTTTGATAAGTCCCGCTAGCATTGATGTGTTGCTGACAAACCTCGAAACAATTTTAGGGCCAGCCTGAAATTTGTGAGTGAGTGAGTGAGTGAGTGAGTGAGTGAGTGAGTGAGTGAGTGAGTGCATTAACATGATTCCCTAAAACTGGCTGGTTTAGAATGTACATTACCATTGATACATTACAGCGTGTTAATTTCCTAAATAAGTAATATCTGTGAAGCCGTTCCTTGTGGATCCACATGATATTGTTGGCATAATGCTGAAAGTGCCATCCACCCCAAATTAATCCATTTATACTGCTAAAATAACTTTCATCTACGCCTACACCATTTCAGTAACCATGCGACATTCGTTTGTGTAACATGGCTAATTCAATACACACGCGCTTGCTTCTCGCCTCACCTACTTCACTTCACTTCACCTCACCTCACCTCACCTCACCTCACCTCACCTCACCTCACCTCACCTCACCTCATCTCACCTCACTCGATTCGCCCCGACTCTCCTCACCTCACCACACCTCAAATACTGCTTTAACATGCCTATGATATTATCACTTTAAATCAATATTCCAAATGTGTAAATGTGTAGGCATCATGTTTTGACTCAAAATACACCCAAAGCAGTACAATAAGCTATACAGTACGGGAATGTTTCAATGCGCTTGTCAGTAATATCTCAAGCCTTGTCACTACCACGACTACAAGCATCATTCAGCGAAATGACTGATGTTATTTTATCCTCAGTGCTTGAGAGTGTTCAGCTGAGGAAATGCATTTTACCATTACAGAGCATTGATACGATCAGGTCCGCTTCCACATCCTCCACCCTCCCCAGAAACTCTCATCCTTCTTTGAGAACAGAACTCATTTGCATGTGCCCGTTACATAACGGTACAAGGGGCTCTCGTCAGCACAAGAGGCTCACAATCCATACCGTTGTGTAGCACCAATGGTCTATCACATGGGCCGATACTCCAGTCAGTCTCACTAGGACGAGCGAACGGTCGGATGAATTATTGACGGATTTCACTACGCTTGGAGATGAACGCTGACCGACTGTTTCACTAGATCAAGTGGTCATTGTCGGACTGTATGGTCATTTGGCGGAAGATCTCTTTTATTCAGTCTCTACTCGTGTGAGTGCATCGGTTCTGTGATGTGTCATGATCTGACAGAATGACTACGAGTGTGAATATAGTTTGGATATACTAGCGGCAAGGTAAGTTCCGTTGCTCTTGATGTGTAAACTGTTGATATTGGCTTGAAACACTATGCAAATGTGTTGAGTATGTAAACACATACAAGCACGTTTCTGGATACACATGTGGTGTGTTCTATCTGAACACGTCTAGGGTCTAAATGCATGAAATGAACTGTCGTTCTAACACCCCTAAACGTAACATCAGAATTTAAACATGTTTAGTGTTTAATCCTGTTTAGAATTAAAAAACACGTTTAAATATGTTTAGAATTATGGTACACTATGGACATAAAAATGTAAACAAAGCTAACTTAATGGTAACCAGGACACAATCACAAACGGAAGCTGACAATGAAGTATATCTGACAACTACGATAAACCCTTAACATTAATGGTAACAGCCCAAAACCCCCAAACACCCACCCCACCCCTCCACCCCATATCTGTATCCCCCAAACCATATAAAAAGCCCCTTAATTTATTTATTAATTCAAAATTTAATTTTGTAAATTACCTACAACGAAATAAAAGGGGTGGAGGTGTGTGTGTGTGTGTGTGGGGTGGGTGGGGGGTGGGTGGGGGGGGGGGGGGGGGGTGGTGGTGGGGTTAGGGGGGGGTATACGGACCTTTTCCACATTTATACCTTAAACAGGTGTAGCTGTTAAATACTAAATCCTGGACATGTCAGAATTTTGGGACAAGGAACGTTTTCAGATTTGTGTTCAGGATCTGAACACATTTTAACAATGTAGTTATAATTCTTATAGTTTGATGTTGCAGTGTTACGGTCCTTATCATGTTTTTAAGGCATCGAGGGACAACGGGCACGTCATCGGACCATTGAATCAGGCTGTTACATGTGTTTGTCTCGAGAGTTTCCCGTTCGATTCTATATCTGCATTAAATAGACAGCTAATTTCGAATAAGGGACTCTTGTACGACTAGTAACACACTTGTATAAATCTCTTGGTGAGTGAGTGAGTGACTGAGTCGTACAATACTATACCATGAGCAGATATACGTTCACCCGAGTGAGTGAGTGTGTTTTACGCCACTTATTTTCAATATTCCACAAATATCAGAGGGAATAAATTTACAGGTTATACCAGAATCGAACCGTGGTCCTCGGCGTAACGGTCGAATCATTAGGCTATACCGTCAATTGTAATGTACAGACTGTCCCAGTCCTGTTAAAGATTTCACTATTTCGTGCTCAAGTGTTCCAACAGACAGTTGTTGTGTCGTGTGCAGCGTAATGATATTTAACCTGGGGAATATGTTCTCATTCATGCTTACCAAAAAGGCATTTTAAACATTTCACACAATGCTAATGTCTAGACACCTTTTATTTCATTACCGGATTTGCTTGTGGTACGCGTAAAGGTTTGCAACGCCGTAACTAGTTTCCGTCTATATAATGGTGTATAATTACTTACCGGCGGCTGTTTCCATTTAATATACCAGTTTAACGTCTAAGTCTGGTAGATCTAGATAGAGCAATGCGGTGTTCGGAGCCTCAGAGGCTTTGTGTATTAGTATGAGATTAAATTCGCATCACCGTCAGTGCTAGTGATATTGGCTTTTGTTGTAACTCTGTTCACTGAGTGCTTCATTACACTGAATAAGATATGTTTTCTTTGAACTTTTCTCATCAACTTTTGTATCCTTAGAAGTCATTAAGTGAGTTGGCTTTAACGTTGCTCTTAACAGTATTTCAGTTATATCACGGCGTGCCAGCTTAATGTGGGAGGAAAGCCCGAAGTGATGCAGGTCTCAGACGTTTACCACTTTGGTGAAACCCACGAGCACGGGTATGGTGCTGACAAACCTAGAAACATAATCGGGGCGAACAATCATAGGTTTCTGGCGTGCCCAAGGGACGCAACTCTGCTCAGCGTATTGCGGCGCTTTTCACGACCGCCCCCCACCCCCGTGCCCCCACCCTTACAAGTGAATACGTAGGTATGTGTCATGTAAAACTTGATTTGATTTCATTACATTAAATTTACATGATTCAGATACAAACAATCGATTATTTATCTATTTATGTTGATTAGATATATCAGAAAGGATCCAAATCTGTTTGTATCGTAGAGGGTAGTCTTGTGGTTAAAGCGTTCAGTCGTTACGTCGAATGCCAGTGTTCGATTCCCAACATGGGCACAGTGTGTGAAGCCCAATTCTGGTGTCCCCCGTCTTGATGTTGCTGTAGTAGTGCTAAAAGCGGCGTAAAACCTTACTCACCCTTCACGGGATGCCCTTGATGATGCTCCGTAAAGATGGCCTGGCGGAAAATGTACCATTGTTGAAAGTCATAAATTCGATTCCCAAACGAATAGCGTACATAATACAGTTAGTGTTGGCTCTTCACTTCACCGCCTCCGTGGTTTAGTGGTAGAGCGTCCGCCCGGAGAGCGGAAGGTCCGGGATTCGATCCCCGGCCGCGTCATACCAAAAGACATTAAAAGATGGTACTTATTGTTACCCTGTCTGGCGCTCGGCATTAAGGGGCTAAAACAAGGACTGGTCGGCTCGGAGTCAGTATACTGTGTCTGAGTGGGGTATTCATGTTAAACTGCAGCATGGTATCTCAGTTTGCTGGCACTATAAAAAAATCGGCATTAGTCCGGACTAGTACAATCAGCCACAGACACACACACACACACACACACACACACACACACACACACACACACACACGTGCATGCACGTCGCTATATAAGTGCAATAATCTTGGACGCGACGTTAAACCCCACAACACCTCACCTCTTCTTTTGCAGTCACAACCTTATTTATACTTGTATATTTGTCTAAATACAAAGAAATCAATACGATTTCCCTAACAAAGCTTTGAAATGCATTTCAGTTATCCTATAGGATCATTACGAAGAGATTCCACTCAATTACCATCATAAACAGGTAGTGATAACACCATGGCTACAAATCATCCAAGAAACATACCATAGAAAGAACTGAGTATTCTTTCCAAATTTCCCATTCGTGGAGGGTTTCTGATATTAACAAAATTGCCAAGAGTCGTGTGTACACGAATAGCCCAGACGCACCAAGTCTTAGAAAGCTATGATCGTGGGTTCGAATCCCAGACTCGCCCTGATTATGTATGTACGTTTTGTTAGCACCATACCCGTGCTCGGGGGTTTCACCAAAGTGGTAAACGTCTGAGACCTACATCACTTCGGTCTTTCTTCCAACATCAAGCTGACGCGCAATGATAAAACTGATATACTGTTTAAGGCGGTGTTAACCAAGCCTCACTGATCCACCCGAAGGGACAAAGGAAGTCTTTTCCAAGAATATTCAGGATTTGAATTGCTTTCGGGACATCAGACTGCGTTGACTTCAGAATAATATTTAAATTGGTCTGTATTAATATTATAATTCAACTTTGGAAAGATGTATTCTTGTTGAATGGAATGGAACGGAACAAGTTTTCTGATCCAGGAGATAGATGTATAAGAGGTAGACGCTGGTAGGTAGAGGTAAACAATAACACCAACCCTTGAACCATCGCCCATATGCGCATATTATGCATTAATGTAATCCATCGCCCATATGCGCATATCATGCATTAATGTAATCCATCGCCCATATGCGCATATCATGCATTAATGTAATCCATCAACAATATAGACATAACATGCATGAATGTAACAACCAACTCTGTCATCAGTCTTTCCACTTGTTTCGTATGCACCAGTGTTAGTCGTGAATATTTACCAACAAAGATACGAATTCATATAAACCCTCAAAGGTTTCAATGCTTCAAACGCAAACGTTATTTGTAACGTGAGCTCTTGAACAGGGAGATCAGCTTTATCTGACTATTTCTGGAACTTGCATATGGCGAAAGTTTACTCGATAGACTGAACTATGCAGAATGGCAAACAGAACATGATTTGGATAAGGAAATCTAGAATCTTGACATTGTTATGGGGTCTGATTCCTCACTGATCCGCCTTCCTGCTAATGCCGATCCCCCTTAAGGACGGGAATATTGTGTTCGTCAATATTTGTCTCAGCATCGGGCTTTTACTGCTGTTTAAATCATGTGGAATCTGTCGCATCATGGCCAGGATATCACGAAAAATGAACTCCATATAGGCCACTATGAGTTCCCCCATGTCCCTACTTGAACCGTATCGATCCATCGATTTCATTGCGTCAACATAATCTAACACGGACTGAAGATCCTCAGCTGAACGAACATTAATGTTCAAATAAGACCCGGTTGTCTTAAATAATACTTCAACATGCTCAAGGAAATAGTATTACTTCATGGCGAACGCATCAACGTTAAAGTTCTATAACACCATTGAATCCGCCGCGCAATGTCTCCTTCGTGGAGCTGGTATGCGTATGTGTGTGTGTGAGGCATTTCAACGCAAGACATATTTCTCTTAATGTAATATCCATTCATTTCGCAAGTCAAAAGAATTTATAAATGGTGTGTATTTATGGAAATTGGAAGTGGACAGGAATAGATAATTCAATCTTTGAGTAATAATGAAACAGCATAGCTGTTACATCTTCCTTCGGAAATTCCGGAAATTATAATTTGTAAATAATAATAATAATAATAATGATAATAATAATAATAATAATAATGATGATGATGATGATAATAATAAAGGGAAAACATGGTAAATACGCAGACCTCGCTTTCGAAATGTCACGCTTGCATCCCCAGTATCAGGTTGTCCGATTCCCCATTGTTCTCGGTGCCTTAGGTTTGGTACCTCCAAATCTGACCCCGATCAATGGATCAATGTGTACTTGGTTTTCATTCTCATCTCCCTGGGAAGAATACAACACACAGTGTCTGTGAGGCGTTAGGTTAACAGTTGTTACCGTCTCATCCCTCCGGGTACCCATTCACTGCTGGGTAAACAGAGACACATGTCGATATGTCTCGGATTTAAACGTTTGACCCTCTGAATTTGCAGCACCACCAAACCGTATGCAACGTGCCTGCAACAGAAAATTCTACAGATCAATTC